ATATATATATATATATATATATATATATATATATATATAGAAGTGTAGTTATTCGCGTAGATGTACGTTATGATCATACGGTCATCAAAGCAGAGACAAAATAAGAAACCTCTTATATATAAACTTCCCAACAGCGGACATCAACCAGAAACGAGCTCGTTTTTCTTTCTCCTTTTAAAAATTTCATGAATATGCCTTTTTTGTGGCCTCTAATGCCATGTCTTTTTTTTCGATTCTGTGCCCGTTCGTGGATTTGTGTGTAGGTACTTTATATGCTTCCGAATTACTTGCTTTTCTGGTTGTTTGTTTCCTGAATTTTCTTTCTCTCTGTTTTTCAGACCAAATAGTCATCCTGCGACGCATATGTGCGCCGACCGGCAGAAGATGTTAAAGAACACTTTTAGTCTTCAAGTCTACAGGAACAGAAACAAATAATTATGGGTCATGCTGTGTGCTTTTTGTACCATAACAAAAATAACAATAACAACAACGACAACGGTACGATCGGTAAATGATAATAATAAAAATGCTATAAAAATGGTGAAAGAATAACAGGTGTCTTCTCTTGTCGGTCTCATACATATGTTTAGGAAAAAGTTGCCGTTTAAGTAAGATTCACACCTTTCGTTTACGTATCTACTGTTAAAACAAAATTTTCGAACGTATACCGAGGGGGAGCTTAAAAAAACCTATTGTATAATTGACAAGTGTAGCAGCATCTATTTTGGTAACAAACGTTGGGCAATCTTTATTCCAAAAGTAAGGCGGATTATATGCGACACGCATTGTTATATTTTTTTTCCCTGCGTTTTCCCTGTACCGCATACATACGGAGTGAAGTATTTGGCCGCATAAAGTTCCATAAACGAAAATTAATTACACGAATCGCAATAAGCAGTGCATCTATAATCCAAGACTGGCGGTCAGTTCCGTCTCTGCTTCCTTAAGTTACGTTTGGGTTTGTGTCATAATTATTATTATAGTTGCGCAATTGCAATCCGTATTGCGACCGAGAAGATCTATTGTATTTGTAGGTTTTTGTTAACAGCATGAGCTGCTGTCTCGATTTTCCTTTGCCAATTTTTGTACTAACTAAGCAAATGTTATCCATTTTTCATATATTGGTTTGACTTCATTTTCATTGTGATCCTTATCTGATTTCCAATTCTCGCATCTGATGAAAAGCAAAAAGTAAATTAAAAAAGACCATCACGTGCCTTAAAAGTAATCGGTAAGCTTAATATGCCTTCCCACGCGGATATGAAGAAAATTTTGAAGATTTATTGAGCTTTCGGAAAAAGGGATCTACTTTTCTCTTAAATTTTTGATTGTCACTTAGGCGTTCTTAACTTCTCAACTATTTCAAGACACTTGAATATCTTATATCTTATGTATCAATCTATGATCCAAACTGAACTTGGTTTTGAATTGCTCCGGATGATTAAGAATCGTTTAAGTACGAAAAGATACCCAATTTGTCGAATTGAGAAAAAAAAAAATCATTCCGCATGAGCACCCGAATAGGCAAAGGATCGCGGTTAAGAATTTAATATCAAAAATTAAATCTCAAGTAAAGGTAAAGTTTTCAATACAGGCGAGCATACGATCTAAATTCTTCGGCAGTTTTTAAATCTATATTTTTTAAAATTTATTCACGAAATATGTAAACAATAAATAAATAAATAAATTTTGTTTTATTTTCTTAGTGAATGTTTTTAGTAGACTTCTCATTGCATCATTCAAATGTCTTTCATTAATTCAAGGAAATCATTTTAATATTGACTGAAAGGATGAAAGTTTGCAGCGTTGCTGGATTTTAAAAGCAGTTTCTTGTATGACATAAAGAATATTCACTTAAGTAATCAATAGTTTGCATATCGCATATGCGAAACTATAGAGACAAAAAAAGAAAAAACGACAAAGGTTTTTTTATATTAATTAATACAAGAAATATTTTCCGATATCATTTCATTTATCTATAATTTTTATTTGCTTATTGTCTATACATTTTGTTAAAGGATTCAAAAAGTATGACATTTTGAAGGAACCCGAATAACTTAGATCACATCTGCCAGGTTTAAAAACTCGACTGCATTTGAGAGTTGAACCTGCGGCCATTGAGTTGTTAGTCGGTATTTTCTACTTATTCGTCTACTCGTATAAATCCTAAAAAGTAAGGAGCCCATCAAGGGCTAGCAACTTTAAAATATTCACTCACTATTGAAGAGAAAATGTTTTTAGGACTTTAGAAATGGCGTTGGTGGATGGGATTATTTAAAAAAAAAAAAAAACCTTACCGTACCTTATGCTATTTATTGCCGAGTTATGTGAGTGCAAAATGCAATCTTATAAAAGAAAAGAATAACGTTTACCTTAAAAGTATTCTTTTATAACTAGATATATTTTTTCGTTAGCTTGCACGCACTTATGTACAATTAGTTTGGCATATATTAATGCAATTATAGAAATTGCATGGGGATCAAGCGATCGATATAAGCTTTTCAGTTTTCTGAAAGGATTTGCTTATATACGCAAGCGCATATGCTTAGATAGATATACATATATATATATATTCTTGCTAGTTGTTTAGTGTTATTTATTTATTTTTATTTTTATTTTTTTTTGTTTTTATTAATTTCTTAATTAATCATTCAGTTTAGTTTTTTCATGGCGACGAAAAATTAGAAGAATATATATATATATATTCAGTTTAAGTAAAGGAGGTTAGGTTTCCTTCGTACGCACACACACAACACACACACACACACAACACACATACAACACACACACACACACACACACACACACACACACACACATATATATATATACACACATTGCTATTAATTATTGTGTGAGAATTTGATTCAATCCTCATCGCTCGCGAAAAAAATGGGATGTTGTGCAGGCATGGCACAGTCATTAGTTTGCCAAAAAATATTTAAAAATGTCTTTTTCTTCTTTCTTAAATTAGTAAACTTAGTCAGGATATTGGATGACATATTTGTCTTTCAAATTTACTATCGGTTTTTGTTTTGAAATTCTTTAGATTTCCGGCGTCTACATACCTGTGGCCATTGATCAATAATCCATTTTTGACAATTTCGACGCATTCCTGAATATGAATTTGTTAAAATGCGAAAATGTATCATTTCAAGTGAATTACATTTACTAATCATTTTAAGTAATAATTTTATATTTTTAATTTTTTCGATAACTCTTCTCTTTTTTTTTGTTTTAAAATAATTGTCGTTTTTTTTTTTGGTAAGCTTCGATTCCGTTATTTGTCGACACAAAAGAGTAGATTTGTTAAAAACTTTTATTTTTTGGGAAACAATAATTTTCACAAATATTCTTCCGTTATTCGTTGTGTTAATCAACGAAAATTCTTACAACCGAACGCACATTTATTCAGTTGGCTTATCTAATACGGCACCGTCATTGGCATAATTAATTAAGAAATATTTTAATTAAAGCAAAAAATTGTAATGTGTGTGTGCCAAATCAATATTTATTATTTTTACGAACAAATAGAAATTTAAGAAATTTACATGCATTACACATGTCCCATCTTTCACGCTTTTCACACTTTTCAAACAAAAAAAAAAAAGAAGAACTAAAGTTATGGTTTACTTCATATCATTCATTATCTATTATCACTCGGAATAATTTGGAGAAGGAAAGATTTAGTTATATGAACATAACTATTATTAGGGAGTAAAAATATATTTGAATTAATTAATCATTTATATGTAAAAGTATTTATTATTTTATGTTAATAGTTTTTTTTCTCAATATTATCGATATATTTACGTACATTATTTCGCACAAGTTCTCGCGACAATAAATTTATACATCCTCATCGTTCAAACTAACTGACGCAAATGAACAATGTGAACAATGAACATAATGAACATGATGAACATGGAATCGATTTTGAGACTGCTGAGAGACGGTAGGAGCAATAATAAGGAAAAAACACGGGAGATATGCTAGCTTGATTAGCTAAAGTTGAGGGGTGTATTCATTTTCTCAAAATGTTTGCAACATTCAGAAGGAAGCTTCATAGATCCCATAAAGTGTGTATACTATTGAATCAATATCATCAATCTATCTATTTGCTTTCTACACTTACGCGTATTATAATTAAATGTTGTACTATTCTACTCAGAGTAGACTGTATTCTGGAGAATGGCTTTTTTCCATTTATTATTATTATTATTATTATTATTATTATTATAACACGATTGAAAAACACGAAACGTAGATACATAAAACGACAAATAAATATTGAAATTTTTCATTACATTCATGTTTAACTTATATCATTTCATTTTTATATAATATTATCTATTATATTATGTATTCATTAAATTAAATATATAATATAATAAGGGCGTATTTATAGTCATCATGAGAAATTAAGCGGTTTTTAAAAACTAGATATGTAGATAGGATCATATTATGCGCCTTTTAAATTTAAACGATTCTAAGGCTTTATTAAATGGTAAAATATCGGAGTCGATACTCTGCACCTATCCATGCAACTCATAGAGAATCTCTAGCTATGTTAAATAGTTTTATAGCTTCAGTGGATTTGTATGGAAGTATGTTTAAAAATCTTTCCTCACAATATAAATTTTCACTTTATAGAAAGGTACTCTCGATAATATCCGCAAACAACGTAATCGTTTATTTGATCCTCGCCATACCTCTGACACGTAGGGAACGTTTAAATATTTGAAGAGAGTTTTGCAGGATCTTGTTACAACGACACGACAAATCCTCTGTTATATAAATAAAATAATATTACATTTTCATTAACTTTTTAAACTTCTTTTTTTATGATTATTTTTAAATATTAAAAATTGAAAATATATTCGAATTAAAAAACTATTAAGTAAATATAAAATAATTTATTTATGCAATTAATTAAATTGTTTTGTTATTATTACTTTTTTTATATATATAAAAAAAAAATTTTTTTGTTTTTTTTTCGTTTAAACATTGAAAATATTCAAATTGTATATGTTTTTTCGTTTTGAGAGTAAAATTTTATTTTGCTGTGCGTTCTTATGAAACCCGTTTTTCACTTTTTGAGACCAAGAGAGTCAATGAAATTTGCTTTGCTATGAGAGAGAAACAGCCATAGCAGAAGAAGAGGAATAATATGGTAAAGAAACATGTAAATAAGCAAGTAAGTTCTCTATCTGTCTTCGTTCTCTTGGTAGGTAAAGGCATGCAGTGGCGTTTATAGGTTTTTGATTTGTTATTATTTTTAGCTATCTGTGCTATTGTTTTTATTTTTTGTTTGTTTAGAATGTGGAAAATAATAACAAAAGTAATAATTGACCATTTAAAACAGAGATGAGAAGAGGCTGTTGTTGTTGTTATTGTATTATTAGCCTTCGCTAGTAAAATGCTTTATACACATGAATGAAATTAAACTCAAATTGGTAAAAAAGAATAATTGAATTTTTTTTTTTTGTAGATATATGTGTGTTTGTGATTTTATTGCAATAATCATGAACGTTACATTTGATATTAATTTCAAATTTAGCAAATATCTTATGCATATTATTAAAATTGTTTGTTGCTCGCAGTCTCGAACGACTTTGCTTAAACCGATGGGAGTAGAAATTAAAAGGATTAAACAAGCATCAAGAGTATTCGTAGCCTTGTTAGATAGCAAAAGGACGATAGGACTAATTTTTCCTTTCCATAGGCGAAAACGGATGACGTTCCTAATATATATGTATATGTATTCTCATACTGACCTAATAACAAACCGATATAATAGGTTTAGCTGACTATCAAAGCAATTCAACCTATTTCCGACAAAAAATTTTCAATTATATCCCTACGTTGCTTTATTATTTTAAGTAGCATATACCGCTAAAAGTGGAGGCCACTTGGTTAAACCACAAAACTCTGGTTTTTTGCTTAATTTTTAATATCAGCCGCATAGAAAGCATAGAAATCTATCATACATTCACCGACTCAAGATCGAAGAACGTTGCAGGTAGAGAGAAAAGAAACATAACGCAGCAACTTCGTTTATTTAGTAGACAAAACTTTTCCTTTGCACAATGCTAATTCCGACACATAATTAAGTAATGCGCAACAGTAACGATGGCAATAATTCAAAAAAATTAACAATGAAAAAGAAACTATTGCTTAGATTTAGTCCAAATTTTTAATTTTTTCCTATTTACTAATAGCTCAGATTAATGGAATTTCATATTAAAATGAAGCGGACAAAGTGCTCTTTTTTTGATTAACTATGAACGGGATCCGTGGACATACGCACTTAACTTGATATTAATAAATTGAGCAACAAGACCTGTGAGATTTTCTAAATCAATTATGCTTTTCATGCTAATCAAAAATTATTATATCTTATTGGACGCTGTTTGCGTATTTTTAAGCCTTACAAACGTTTGACTATTCTTATATGCTTTTTATGGTGAGTATAAAAAGAAGAACTCGTTAATGATTATAGTGTATAGAAGATATTGTTAAGAAAACCAATATTGAATTCAGTTCCAAGAGTTATAAATCGAAAATCAATGTTCCATTTACAAGCATGTACAAATATCCATAAACCTGCGTTGCGGTAGTAGTAACCTGTAATGAAGTTTTTGAGTTAGCGAGAGTAACAAATTTAATTTTTCTAATTCGTGTAGACGAAGCGCATCTGCTAATGAAAAAGGCCACAATAAACGAAACCTCGCTTTTAGTATAGTAATCGGGCGGAAGGCACAAAACAATACGCACTTAAAGTCAAAGCAAATGAGGCCACCGTGCACAGCGCATTCTTCTCTTTTTTTCTCGATGTTTATTTTTTCATTTTCTTATTTGCTTTTTTTTTTTTTTGTATGAAAGTGCGGTTAAGATGAAACGTGTCGGCATAGCTTTGATACCGCCAAGATCAAAGATACCGATTGTTTACATAATGGTGGCCTTTGAAACGGAACAATAGAATGCCAGGATCAAAAGTAATAGCCGCTGGTTTCGCAGTAATGACAAAAATAACATCAACATAAACAACAACCATAACAAAAAGCAACAAATATAAAACAATAATATTATAAAACGTAAAACTATGAAAATATTTACGTATGTGTAAGAACTGAGAAGTCTGTGAAAGAGAGAAAGAAGACGATGAAGAATAGTGTGGAAGAGGGAGCAAACAGAGAGAGAGAGAGAGAGAGAGAGAGAGAGAGAGAGAGAGAGAGAGA